GAGAGGTAGCGCCGCAGGAGGACGGCTGGGGACATGTCCTACAGGCCGAGGGACAGGAGGATATCCCATGGGGGCTAGGGGATGAGGACGAGGATATGCTGGATGCGCGGGACGACTAGAGGAAGGGCACATCTGGGCGTAGCCTAGAGAGGAGAGTGGTAGAGAGTCTGTTAGTAAACATAGGGAGAAAACTTTAGATAAGACGGGGGTTGCCGGAAGCGCTGGTAGAGATGGCAGATAGAGACACGTTGAGAGTGACCCTTTCCTTGCGACGAGATAGGATAGGGGGTTGGGAAGAAGAAGCGATGGACGATGTTGTGCGTCGGATCAGACTCATGACTGAGCATGCCCTGGAGATACGTCGAGTTTACCTTCTACTTCCATGGAGCTGACGGGAGAGTCCACATCACCTACTCGACTATACTGAGCCTGAGAGGTAGAGTTGTTTGAGGAGTTAGTAGCATCGTGTGATCTAGCGGCATAGGGGAATGAGGAGCGACTCAAGCGCATGGTGGGCATATGTCCTGTTGAGAGACTCAGAGTCCTACAGAGTGAGGAGACTAGTCGAGCCTAGAGAGACTGCGCTCGGATTTGACATACCTCTTCCTGTGAGATTGGTGGATAGCGATAAGGTACCGCTCGAGTATGTGGGAACGTGGATAGAGGAAGGGGTATTTCTCTCGGCGATAGTTGTAGCGGTTAGAGAACGGGGACGTGAGAGGCAGAAGGAACTGATAGGACATCTTATCTTTGATCGAGTGCGAGAGGTTGGAGTAGGACTGACACTAGTCGGAATTGGAAGGAGCATGTTGAGATGTGAAGCTTTGGCGAGGGCGCACCTGACTAGAAAGGCGAGACTGATAGTAGGAGACAGTCGACCGCAGGTGCGTATTGTGATCGGGCCCCTGACACAGGATCTTCATCTTGTACTGGGCTGGAGATGGGCCCTCCCTCCGTTTGTGATTGACCAGGTATACGGAGGGGTTAGGAGCCTAACGCGAGCGGTCCACCATACGCACTTGGCTCTTGGATCGGGGTTGGCACCGCAGTTCAAGGAGGCTTATTTCACCGTTAGTCTGTGGTGGAGAAACTTTGATGATGAAGAGCTAAGAGATCTGATAGACATAACCTGCTCGGTAGACTGTTTGAGATAGGTAGACTTAGTTGAATACTGTCGGAGATGGGTGGAGGAGAAGTACGTGGGGCTAGAAGGCTTGAGGGATCTGTTCAGGGAGAAGGAGATATGCCGGGTCGTAGATTGACTGGGATCGAGGTAAGCAGTCAGTTAGTAAATGAGGGGTTCACGGTTACGGTACTACTTAGAGCGCGCGTGGAGGACAACTTGACTGAGCAGGAGAGTATTCTACAAGCCAGAGAATTTATTTGAGAATACGGACCGGGCGTTCTCGAATGCGTAACCTTTCAGACCAAGATATCGTACGAGGTAATGGTGTGGTCAGCAGGGTACCTACGCGCCGAGTTGTTCTTCGATGAGATGGTAGCGGAAGCTAGGAGTAGGATATGAGCCCCCGGACACGACAGAGCGCGAACAACAACTGTATCGATACAGACCCCGAGCCTCATATTCGCTCCGGTGGGACCGCAGGGGATCCGACTCCTGGAGGAGTGTGAGCGAGAGGAACCCTCGAGTAGCTACTCGAGAAATTGAGACGAGGAGCCTCTCCCCTCGGCAACGCCTTCTCTATGCTCGGGTTGTTTCTAGGCATTTAGCGCGTGACAGCGAGACCCTACAGATTCTCTTGAAGGTGAGCATAGAAGTAGAACTGTCAGACAGCGAGTTCAAAGAACTTGCAGGAGACGTTATACGAGAGCAGAGACCTGGTACCTTGAGGGAATTGACGACACAGAGCTGGGTAGTTTATGAGGTGATCGTATGCGTTAAGGAAAATGTGCGCTTGGAGATAATTAGGGACGAGACACCCTCGGAAGCTCGAAGCAATATGTGACAGGAATTCAGGGTGAGAAGAAAGATGGATCGTGGAAGATGGAAGATCTAGAAGGAAGACAAGAGATAATAGAGGATCGTATTGTTAAACGTATCGTTGAGCGCGTCAAGGAAGTCAGCCTCAAGATTCATGACTGCGGGCCTAACAAGGAAAAAAGTGAGCTGCGAAAAATAGAAGGTGCGACGAAGGCCCTGAGAAGGCTTTTTATAAAGGACAGAGACTTCCTTAGGAGGTGGAGGTTAGAATTTATAGAGAGTGTCAAGAGGAGAGGGCCAGGAGACGAGGGATCACTTGAGTCTACAGGAAGGAAAGAGGAGTTGATAGAGACTGCAACGTCAGGAGAGAAGAAAAATGTTGTTGAGAGTGATGAAGGATGGCAAGGGAGAATGAGCTTCGAAAGGTGTTCTATTCGAGTTATAGAAAAGTTGGAAGGGCCAACCGCTTGTGTTAGAATACAGTTGGAGCAACTAGAGAAGCTCACCGTGATCGAGGAAGCGGAGAGCACTAGGTAAGCCGTTCAAAAGGCACGGGTGACTGGACTCTGGGTGGGGGAAGGGAGTGCGAGATCGATCCGTTATTCCTTGCACCTGTCCCCCTATGAGGGAGTGTCATTAAGCAGAGCGTGGTGCGAGACTCCCGTGAAGGCAGAGACACTTCTGAAGAGTGAGGCTGAAGTGTCTGGAGACTTTGCTGGGGTTATAACAGAGAGTGCTGTTTTAAGAATTTACAAAGCACACGACCAGTACCAGAGTGAGTTTCTTTGGACCTTAGCTGCGATTGGAAACTTCGGAGATATAGACGATTTTGAGACGTTCTACGAGCTTTTGGAGGAATTCGCAGAAAGGATTCTGGTAGCTTTAGCGTTGATAGACATGAAGTGTGTAAAGTAGGCTATAGGAATGAGAGAAGTAAAGGTCGTTTCTGAGCGAGAATTAGATGCTAGGAAAGAGAGATTTCTTGCGGGCTACAGACCTTTGAACGAGGATTTAGCGGGAGTCTGCAAGCGGTTGAGTTCATTGGGGCGAAGAAAGGTGATTCCGTACGAAGTAGTGACATATGAGTTAGTGGAGAGCGGCTGGGAACTGATACGCCTTTACATTATTACTGTTCGGTTCCTAGCCGTTGAGGTGTAGGATGTTAGAATTTACCTTCCAGCAGAGCGAGAGATCGATTTGATTTACGGTCGGTGCTGGGAGAGCGCGGAATAAGTCGTTGAGAATGAGCGGGATAGGCTCCAAGAGTTAGGTAAGAAGATAATCTGGGATACCCGGATAACGCTCTTTCAGGGGTTGCCCAGACCTCCTGTACCGCGACAGGTAATACAAGGGAGGAGCAATGAGGCAGTGGTTGGCTTAGCGCTTCGATACTTTAAGTTTGATGGCCATAGGGGATGATTACCCGCTCGCGCGAGCTCACGTCGCACATCGAGGGTTGAATCACCTAGCGCGGAGGGCATTGGTCGACTTATGAGAGAGTTGTGCGTTCTTGTGTACCGGAAGAGATGAAGAGGATCGCGACAGGGATTTGTAGGAGAGTGAGGATATCAAAGTCCGGAATCATAGAGGTTAAGAGAGGTGTTTGTTGCATAGAAGAGCAGGAGGGAGAACTTTACTTTGACTCAGGGAATTTGGGTATCAAGGGTTAGCACGAGATACGGGACGAGGCTGGGAGACTTGTTGCGATCCTGAGAGCGGTCGCAGACGAGTGATTGATTCATTCATAGGTCCGGGTTGCGGATTCTTTCATAGGTCCGGGCTGCGGATTCATTCATAGGTCCGGGTTGCGGATTATTTCATAGGTCCGGGCTGCGGATTCATTCACAGGTCCAGGCTGTCGGTGCTAACGCACTAAATCAGAAAAGGGAAAGTATATGGAATCTGATACAATGGGGCCGCATCCGGACGAGGAACAGGCGGTGTATCGAGCATCGCCGGATCGGGCTCTGCGAGACCTCAAGGAGCGTCTTCGACAGAACGCCCCTCTGAGGTACGTAGAGCAGCCGAACGACGGCGAGCCCAAGGCGATGGCACCTCTTGCCATTACTGGACCCAACAAGGCTGCGTCTGTAGAGCGACCGGAGATACAGACTGAGCCCCGAGTTTTCGGCGTGAATCGTTTATTCAACGCCCGTCTATGTACGAGTGTAGAGAAGATAGAGCCTATATAGGCTGTCTCTTATACACATCTAGATGTGTATAAGAGACAGCTCCAAACCACCGCATTGTCGCCCGTCTCTCTCTTCCCCGCCAACCGCCAAAAGATGAGCAATCCGCCCTCCCGCACGCTGATAACACGTATAGANCGAGAGCAGAGAGAGAGAGAGAGAGAGAGAGAGAGAGAGAGAGAGAGAGAGAGAGAGAGAGAGAGAGAGAGAGAGAGAGAGAGCTGCGATGTCCAGACGGGTATTTGACCCTGAGACGGGGGAATCTCAACCCCTGCCATACGAGACGAGAGATAGGTTCATCATCTCGCATCAACCCTCGGAATTGGATACGAGACCTCCCGTTCAAAAGGGTGTGGTATTACCGAATATATCGAAAAGTGGGAGTTGCATGCCTACCGAAGTCGGTGGACAGAGGAAGAGATTATAGACAACTTCCTGTTTAATGTGGACCCAAGCTTGAGTCAGGAGATTAAAGAGGCTCGACCCAAAGATAGGCGATGGGCTACTTATAAAACCAATCTGTACGAGCTCTACAAACCAGAAGATATTAAGTATTATATCCGAGACTTGGAGCAGCTGACCCAAGGGGAGGGCGAGAGTGTTCGCACTTTCGGGAAGCGGTTCCAGAAGGTATCTGATGCCCTTATGGCAAGAGGGAAGTTGTCAGAGGTTGATAGTTGCACGATCTTCCTTAGCCAGTTACCCAGAGGAAAGCAAAAGGCAGTGCTGACAGAGATGCCTCACGATAAGTTAGAATTTACTGCGTTACTTAAGTTGGCCATGAAGGCTGAGGCGGATGACTACAAGGACTTACTCTGGAGGGGCATGCAGCGCCGGGACTATTCCCTCTATCAGGAATACGGGACCGATAGGTGCCCAGATTTCAACGACAAACCTTGGGCTGAGTGACGTTATCTGATGGATAAAGATGGATCCCAACGGACAAAGGATAAGGATGCGGTAATAGAGGAGATGCAAGAAAAATATGAAGGAAATGGCCAGGCAAATGACAAATTTCAAAACGAAGGTCGGAACTACGTACCGGGACAAGCCTGGATCCCCCTACTCTCTGCGGTGGGATCGTCGGAACACCGACCCATGGAGGAGTGTCGAAGACCGTAACCCTCGCACACTGGCTGATTACCGTGCGAGGGAAAGAGATGAAGATAAGCGGCGGCGTAGAGATGAAGAAGATCATAGACGTAGGGAAGAGAAGGATCGAAGGCGCAGAGATGAGGATGATCGGAGGCGTAGAGAGGATGAAGAGCGGAGGCGCAGGGATGATGATATAGACAGAGACCGCCGGCGTGATGGGTATCGAAGAGGAGATTCTTATAGTCGACGTGACAGATCCGACCAGTATCCTCGCAGTCCCAGGGACCAGTACTCGCGCAGTCCCAGATACGGTGGGAATGCCGATGGGTACCGGAGCCCGGGTAACTTTAACTCGAGGAATAGAGAGGACTCCTGCCGTCGGTGGGAATTGGATAGGGACCGCCGAGATGGATATCGAAGCGGTTACGAGCGGACAGAGAGAGGTGGCGATCGCAGAGAAGAGTCACGGGGACAGTATGAGCGAGGAGGATATCCTGCGTCGCCAGGATATCCCAAGTCCCCAAACTACCCTAGATTTCCTGGGCCATCCAACCAGGATGTAAGACGACGGACGATTAAGTCTGCGGAGAAATGACCCCCTACACCTATGAATTCCTGTATCTATTGCAGGGGAGACGATCACCTCACGAGAGACTGCCCTGACCTCAAACGGGCAATAGATGAGGGACTTGTTGTACTTGATGATCGCAAGTACGTCAAGTGGGCGGATAACCTCGGAGATGTATCGATGTTTCCTTCAATGAACGAGAACGTGGAGGCTAGGCGAGTACTACCTAACAAGGGCAAAGGAGTCGCAAGGACCTAGAGCGTGAGACTGAGTCTGTCTTCTGATGAGGAGAGTCCTATGACTAAGTCCGCCAGGGCGTCCTCCTCTAAGAAGGCTGAAACTGACTATGTGATGGCGGAAAAGGACGGGCAGTGGATTGAAGGAGAAGAGGTTATACTTTCCCCATGCAAACGTGGGGCCAGAAAGTTCACGATGAAGAGTACCCTGGATGACATAGATACGGTTGAGCCTCTTAGACGTGCGCTCAGGCAGCCGATGCAGTGCACTATACTTGAATACTTGGCAGCCTCGAGACCAGCGCGAGATGAATTGCAGATGATTACGCATAAGACACGTATTCCTCTAAACGACGAAGTCCAGATGGCGACAAAACAGGAGGAGATACCCACTGTTGCAGTATCAAGTATGGTCGCTAAGGCAGATCGTGCTGCAACAGTGTTCTTATATGGGATAGAGGGAGTGCCTCCTGACAAGGTTTACATTCTAGGCAGTGGGACAGTACAGACTACCCTCAACGACGAGGTGGTCCTTCATGCCGTAATCGATAACGACAACGAGGCTGTCATTATAGACGAGGGTCAGACGGTCCGATTGGGATTAGATCTGGATAGGTCGTACCAATTTGAGATAGAGACCGCTGATGGAAGGAAACAGAAGGTCACCGGAGTTTGTCACAAAGCAACAATCGAGGTCGAAGGACTAAGGGTGATGATGCCTGTCTTCGCGGTTCGGGATTGTATTGTAGAGTTATTATTGGGGCGGACATGTCTAAGTCACGTCGATGCCGTTACTATAGAACGACCGGATGAAAGCCAGATACTATCCATCAAGCGTCCAGACGGTGGGCGGATTATGATGGAGACGGTAGAGCCTCGTGATCCGAGGAACAAAGCGGTTCTCGCTGCAGGGGGCCGCATACCGGTTCCCCTTGCAAGTCGCTCCCTGAGCTTTCGCGAAAAGAAGTATGGACCTCTGCTTACAGAAGAAGAGGGTCATATAGTGGAAGTCGAGGATTTAGGCACAAGACAGTAGCTCAGAAGGTTAAGCCGGCGGCCGTAGCACCAGAGCGATCCGCTTTGGATGGAGTATCTGAAGAAGAAATCGCTAAAGAGACTAAAGAAAATAAGAGAAAGGGACCTCAGCGGCTGTCGGAAAAGAGGATAGCGGAGATGGACATAGGAGACGGAAATCTGACTGAGCCAGAGAAAGAGCGAGTGTTAGAAGTCCTTAAGTCTTGCGACAAAGCTATAGCTTTCAGTGATGCGGAAAGAGGAAGGATTGATCCCAGGTATGCTAAGCCTACAAGGATCTACACGATTCCGCATACACCATGGAATGGCGCAGGGTGGAAGTTTGCTCAGAAAGAGAAGGAAGAGGTGATCTCCTTTCTCAAAGAGAAGATGGCATCGCACGTAGCTGAGTCATGTGATAGCGCGTACACAAAAAGATGGTTCTTCTTAAGGAAGCCTAATGGAAAGATTCGGTGGATTCAAGACCTTTAGAAGGTCAATGCTGTGACGATTCGGGATGTAGGTGTTGTGCCGCACGCTGATCTATTAGGAGAAGGAGCGGCAAGCAGATCCATTTATTCTGTCTGCGATTTATTTCCGGGATATGACGAGATACCACTAGATCCGAGAGATAGGCATCTCACAGCCATGCACACGCCGCTCGGATTAGTGCAGATGAAGGTCGTTCCGATGGGATGGACCAATGGGGTAGCGGTCTTTCAGAGGGCCATGGTTGCGGTTCTGAAATACTTTATCCCTGATAAAGAAGAAGTTTTTCTGGACGACTTTCCGATAAAAGGACCAGTGGTGAAAGACGAAACGGAAGTTGCTCCTGGTGTCAGGAGATTTGTTGAGCAACACCTGACGGATATTTACGCTGTCCTGGAGCAGCTAGATGAAGCTAACCTGACGGTTAGCGGGACAAAGAGCCGATGGGCCGTATCGACGATTAAAATTCTAGGGTTTATATGTGACGCGAAAGACCGACGCCCCGACCCTGGGAAGCTGGAGAAGTTGTTAAATTGGCCGACTCCTTTGCACAGTGCAACTGAAGTTCGCCAGTTTTTAAGGGTTGTTGGTTATTGGCGGATCTTCATACATGGATATGCGGAGAAGGGAGAGCCTCTGCGGACCCTTCTTAGGAAGACCGAGAAGTTCTACCGGGATTCTTCTCAAGAGCTTGCAATTCAATCCCTCAAGGAAAAATTTAAAGAAGGCGGCCGAATTCTAGGTGTGCCATTCTTTGAGGACGAGACGGACAGACCGTTCATAGTGTCTACGGATGTTGGACCATGTTCGGTTGGGGGATTGCTATCTCAGAAGGATGCTCAAGGGAAAGAAAGACCATTGAGGTTCGAGAGCCGAACACTCAACACTGCTGAACGCAACTACAATCAGTTTAAGAAGGAAGTGTTGACTGTTCTACGGTGCTTAGACACCTTTAGGCATTACGTATATGGAAGAGGGTTCGTTCTGAGGGTAGACCCTACAGCGGTGGTGTCAATCCTACAAAAGGATTTCAGTTTGACGGATTCTACGATCGCGCGATGGCTGATCAAGATTCGACTTTATGACTATACTGTGGAAAGGATCTCGGGGGCAAAGAACGCCGTGGCTGACGGACTCTCACGGATTCTGATTGAGGCGGAGCAGGTGATAACAGTTGCTGCACTGACTATGACTGAGCCTAGATGAATGGATCGCTTCCTCGTCAATCTCTATGAAGGTAAGTACCGCACGATAGGGTTGCATCTGTTAGGAGAGGAAAACACTGATTCGGACATCCAGAGACAGGCTGCGCAGTATTGCCTTAGGGCTGGGTATTTGTTCCGACGACCTGTGGGAGCAGGGATGCCTCTCCGGGTGATCTGTGATCCGGAGGAGAAATAGTCCATAGTGACCGAGTTACATGACGGTGTAGTCGAAGGACATAGAGGAGTAAAAGGAACGAATGAGAAAGTTCGCCGGTTATATTGGTGGGAAGGACAGTACAAGGACGTTGAAAAGCATTGCGAAACTTGTGAGGACTGCAAGAAGAGATCCCTTATTAGATATAAGGAACCGCTTCATCCTTCATACCCCACTAGACCTGGAGAGAAAGTGCATATTGATCTGGTGAAGATGCCGAAGGGTGTAGGGAGCATGAACTATGTAGTGAACATCAGGGATGATTTCACTGGATTTCTCGATGGCAAGCCCATTAGAACAAAGACCGCGAGAGAAGTTAAGAACTTCGTCCTGGAGTATCTGTCTAGATACGGATGTGTTTGTAAGATTGTGATGGATAGAGGAGCAAAGTTCCTAGCAGACGAGGTACAGAGCGTATTCAAGAGAGCAGGAGCTAGAGTATCTATTGCTACTGCCTATCACCCTCAGTCCAATGCACCTGTAGAGCGAGGGCACCAGTCATTGATTGCGTCCTTATCCAAGTGGTGTAGAGGGAAGGATAGCGACTAGCCGAAGTATTTCAGGTATGCGATATGGGCGGACAATGTCACTGTCCGAGCTAGCACAGGCTACCCTCCTTACACTTTATGGTTTGGAAGACACTGTCCTCTGCCCATAGAGTTTCATGTTGACAGTTGGACCACGGTTAACTGGGCGGATAACATGACGCGAGAGGAACTACTAGCGGCTAGGACCAAACAGATAGCTTATGGACTAGAAGATAATCTCATGACTGCCGCTAATCGGCTGACGGTGGAAAGAGAGAAAAACAAAGTGAGATGGGATAAAGATGTCAGAATCACGAAGGAGAAGATTAAAGTCGGCGACATGGTTCTTCTCTACGACGCCGCTCTGGAGAGAACATGGACGGAAAAACTGGCCAATAGATGGATGGGTCCCTATCGTGTAGTCGGTGCGTTATCTTGGGAAGCATATATGATCGCCGAGCTAGAAGAATCGAAGTGGAAGGATCCTGTGGCTGGAGCTAGACTGAAGCTATTTAGGTCAAGGGAGGTTCCTACTCCTGCACTGAAGCTATCAGATCCTAGAGAAAAAGGGAAAGCTAAAGTGGCAGATAAGGGACTGTCGAGACGATTCGAGGAAGGTGAGAGCTCGAGGAAGAGGAAGAGAGTAGAAACCAGGAAGGTGAAGGGTTTGACGCTGGGTAAGAAGAGGAAATGGGTTTTTGTCCTACAAAGGCCTAAGAGAAGAGTCCGCATTAGGAAGGGTGACGCAACTGTCACACGGGCTCCCCAACAAAAGAAAAAGCGGAAGAATATTCCTACAACGAGATCCAAACGGCTGCGACATAAGAGGGGGAAGAAGCACCCGCTCAGCCCCAGAGTTCCCGAGAAACCCAAACGCCAGACAGAGAAGAGGAGGCACTTGCGTCGAGCACGAGTGGTCCACTTAGATCTGGTACGTTTCGTCTAATCCTGGCGGAGCGGGCTTCACAGGGGCGTCGAGAGGAGGTCCGGGCTTGTTTGTGGGGCGACCGAAGGCTAGTCGGTCACCCTAATACCGCGAGATTGGCCCGTAGAAAAGTTGTTTGAAAGGGATCGGCCGCGAGTCTTGTCCGACCCGCTGGGAGAAATTAGGGGTAGTCAGGTCACCCCTAATTTTGGATGTGTCGACTATTAGGACTAACTCTAGAAATTGGCGAGAGGGACTACCGCTTCGACGCCCTCACGACTACCTTATTGTTTGACTCATTTCCGCCGCTCTAGGCCTGTCCCTGAAACGACTGGCTGCGGGATGGTTAATTGAGGATAAGCCTTGACGAGGCCCTGTTACGGTGTCCTAAGGGCGCGAGGAAGGGGGCCCTGTTACGGTGTCCTAAGGTGTTGTTCCAGTTCAGGCGTGAGGTTTGGGACAGGTCCGGAATTTTCACGGCAGGGCTGTATGGGGTCGACGTCGACATGTTTCAGGTTCGATATGGGCACGGCATTGCTATGTCTCGTGTTCAGTATTGGTCCAACATCACTGAGGTACACATCTTCGGCCACAGAGAGAGACGCATCGRCGTCGTTTACAGGYTCGGTTGTTTCAAGTCYGGTTTGGTTCGGCACCGACGCGGCACTGTGAGCTGGTATTTATTTTCGGGCTTGGAACAGGATTGGTGCTATCACGGCATGGCCGTGCGAGTTCGGCCTCTATTTGGTACACCGGCCTGATACTGGTTTTCAGGCTCGACGCAGGTATGGTTCAAAGTATTCAGGTTCGAGTTTAGTACGGCACGATGCTCGACCTTGAATTGGTACTATATGGCCGCATGTCCATGGCCGTCTAGTCCGGAAAACCGAGGTTGCMGCGCTGCACGGTGTTCTACGAGTTTTTGGGCCAACATTCGGCCGACATTGACGTGCCATCAGGTTCGGGTTGGGTCGGTTTCGGTGTCGTACACACCGCTGTGACATCTTCAGGCTCGGTGTTGGTTTGGCAACGGCACGRCGCAGGTTTCTCAGGTTCGATTGATACTTACAGTCATGACACTAGCGGAATCGACTACTGCAGTGGAGATTGTCGTTTAAGCATAAGTAACCACTCGACATTCAACTGGTACGGTCACACCTCTGGTCCTATGTTGAGAACTGGAGTTGGGAGTTGGCAACAATTGTTTTCTTTAATCGTTATCGGTTTCCTGCTACATTGGCGGACACAAAATCTATGCTATTATTTAGCGGCCTTGGTATGCCTGGCCGCTTGACGTCGAACAACAGCGGACAATCTGTGGAAATTTCCGGGACGACAGGCTGCCTGGTCCGGAATGGGTTAACTTAGGATTGGCCCGGTTGCAGCGCGCCTGGGCCTTAAGGGCCTTGGTGCCACGACACCTATTTGTTGACTCGAGGATGGTGCTCACATACCACCCGCATTGAGCCTGTGTTGAGTCTTGTACCAACGGTCTCGGCGGTACAAGTAAATGTCAAATCAATATAGGGGGGAACAGAGGAGAGAACGGGGACAGTTTGCAAGGTGTACCTGGCCCACATCGTGGTGGGATGCAGGAAAGGTCAAAGGGCATGGGGCGAAGCAACGGAGCACCGCGCACAGCATGCTCAACGTCGATTTGCAAGCTTGATTGGAACAAGGGCATCACAAAAACCGAGGCGAACACATCGGGGTGTATCTGGGACGAGCCAGGCGTGCACAGTCCGCTTATACTCTCACGCGTGCGCAGGGGAGAGGGAGGAGAGCAAAGCTCTGGCAAGCGGACGGTGCATTCTGCTTTGGCAGCGCTCGGTTCGTGAAGACTTCGACGCGCAGTGAGCGGGAGAGTATATTTCCAGCGAATCATTTCGAGTGAAGAAACCATCTGCAAATCTGGCAACCCGCCGTTGGCGGGAGGATACATTCGCAGCGAATCACCTTGAGGGAGTCACCCATCTGTCAATCGTGTATCCCGCTGTTGGCGGGAGAATGCATCCGCAACGAATCATTTGGGGTGAATCATCCATCTGCAAATCTGGCAACCCGCTGTTGGCGGGAGAATACATTCGCAGCGAATCATTTTGAGTGAATCGTTCATCTGCCAATCGAGCGGCCCGCTCTTGGCAGGAGAGCACATTCACCGCGAGTCAATTTCAGAGAATCATCCAATTGCCAATCAAGCCTCTCGCTACTAGCGGGGAAGGACATTATCAGTGATATCTCAATCCACTAAACCACGGTTGACGGTAAGCAAGTGCTTCAAAGAAGATTGGGTCAAGGCCGTTTCCGAACAGATCGATCCAACTTACAGTCGAACAGTGGGGGAACAGGTAAGCGGCACTCTGATCCATCGTGAACGAGTGATGGCGGGAACTCACGTGTTGGGAGAATTCATGTATACCCGAGCTAGTGAAACTCGTTCCCACTCTTCCGTCGAGCGAAGGGGCACGCGGAGAGAAAAGGGGAACTTCAGTATGAAAGTGGGAGATGCTCGCGAAGGTATGAGAAAGGTGATATTTGTATATTTTCCTTTTATTTGATTTGATTTATTTTCACCACTTAAACAGTTGCTCATTTAAATATACACTTTCGAGTCTAATACAGTGAACCGACACCCTGACTCCAGCCAAATCCGAAGAGAACGAGGGGCCGTGGATGTGTAACAGTCAGGCTAGGAGTTGTGCTCCGCGCGAATGAGAGGAGTGTGGGAGAAAGCCCGACAGTCGGAACACGGATGAGTAGGAATCAATGAAAGGGAGCCACTGAGACATGAGCGCTCCTGAGTTCCGATGCAATAAAACTTGGAGGAAAACCCATCTTTTTTTTTTCCCTTCCTCTTATATATATATATTTTTATGTAATCTTCGCATCATAATGTGACATGAGGAAGAAAAACAGGCTGGCATCCTCTGCTGTTAAAGCCAATAGCAGATCAGACCAAACATTCCCGAGGGGGACTTGTACATGCCCTCTTTGACCGTATGGATCTTGTTTTCGTGACTTAATGGACATAATGCTGAGGAATTGCGCAGCGGAAACTCCCCTTAACACATGATAGCTTTGAAGGGAGTGAAGAACGGGACACGGACAAGAGGACTCAGAAAAGAGGGAGAGTACATGGAGTGAGAGAGAACGGGGCTGCGCTGTGAAGGGAAGGACAAGTGAGTAGTGAGTGAGAGAGAGGAGGGTCAAGGGGGAAAACTGATTATTAACTTGCTTTCGTTAAAATTTGATATTGCATTGAACGACCCCTCGAACATATCCCTATTTCACTAAAACCTGAGGTTGGACTTTATGAGTATTCGAACAGAGTTCTGTTTCACTGAAATCAGTGCAGTCGCTGGTTGGCCCGATGACCCATCGAAACAGTTCACCGATTCTGCCCTTCAGATCATTCGGTCAGAACGGGTGCGTTTTCTGAACCGGGCTCAATAACTTGAGAGCGAAGTTTAGACATCAAGAACTATAGGTTGGGAAGTGCATGATTATCGCTCATCTGCCTCAAGAAGGGGGGAGCAAAGCGCTTCAGTTTTGAGCCAGACCCTTCTCAACAACAGGTGTTCTTGGATGACTCGACCC